TGCACCAGCCTTGTATTTCTTTCCTGTGCTTAACAGCAAGAAGGGAAAAATATGAGGGTGAGGAAAGGAGGCCATGGTGGTGGTGCTTCTGCGTGGAAGTCAGGCACAGGGATTGTGATTTTTCAGAGGTTAACAAGGACGGAATTCCCAATTATAATGAAATTCAGTAGTAGCTCAGTGCATTGTCCCCTCTGGCTTCTTTGAAAATTGAAAATATAGGAGATGAGATAGGTTTTCTGTCACACCAAACTGTCCAGCAGATCTTGGCTAATGTTTTACAGAGAAAAAAAATCTCAGTTTATTACCACCAAAGGCAGTCAAGTCACCACCTTAGCCTAACAGTATGGGCTGGAATTTGAACCCTAACCATTACACCAGCCTTGGTGAGGCAGCAGCTGATCTGCGCAGTGTTTCGGCAACACTCCTTACATTAGTCTTGGTGGGGGAACTTTTGAAAAGAAATTAAAATTAACTGTCTGTAAAAAACAGTGATATGAAACATGCCCTATTTTGCCAAAATCTCAGTTCCTTTCTCTCCCCAGTTCTTGTCACAATGTCTAAGTTATGCAAGAAAAAGTTTCTGAATACGATCCATCCTGTTGACATAAGCCATGCAGGAAAAAAAGGCTGAGAAGGCTAAAACCCACTGTTGCTGATACACTGTATATGAAGGGCAGAACTGAGCTCCAAAACAATAGTGTTTCCTAACAAGATAAAACCGCAGCTACTCAAAATTTCCAAAACAGAAAAGGATTGTGACAAGAGAATTTTTTCCTCATGTAACGCATGCTTCTTATTCATATTTCCAAACCGTTACTTATTTCCTAGCATTCTGTGGTTAATGCCATATGTATTTTCAATAATACAGTTCAGAGAAATAATTTTTTTCCTACCAACATTGGTTATTTCTGACAACCAGTACATCACAAAATTGCAAATGCAGGTTTTGATCAGGCTAGTTTTCATTGCCAAATACTCAGCTTCCTCTAATGAGTGCATATTTAGAGAATGCCTCAAAGGAAATGATTCAAACTCACATGATCTAGAAGACTTTGCAAAACAAGTATATGCTGCATACTATGTATTTTTCTAATTTGGAAGCCTAATTATTTAGGCACGTGCTGTAGTAAGATTTGCAAGGGTTGCAGCAGTAGAAGCAAACCAAAATTTACCTGGCAGAGAATGACCTTTACAAGCTGTGTAGATCTGTTGCTCCTAACACCTGAACTCCCTTCTCTGGACTGTTTATACTAGTACCAGAGAAGCAGCAAACAGCAACCCTTTCAACGGCCAAAGCTCTTCCTAACTTCTGCAACATCAGAACCCCGTAAGGTAAGATAGAAACAAAAACGTAAGGAAGCTAGAAAGAGGGTGAATCAGTTGGAGAAATGGATGGAACAGAAAACATACTCAGTTTGTACAGCAACTACTCAACCATTTGTGCAACTACTCTAAGGTTACTGAAGTATTTACACTTCTGAGACGAGGAAATGTAGATTTACAGATGCAGGTGGTGCATGACATCAGACCAAAAGTAGATACAATAATGAAAATGCAACTAAAGTTGAACTAGTTCTTAATTACCCACACACAGAGCTAGACAAATCCCCAGTGACTACCAGTTTTTCTTCTTTCCACATTTGTGAACAAATAAATGCTGTAAGTAGAAAATACAATCAGGATTTGTCACACTCCCTGGAGGACTTTGGGTCCATAAAGGCAATAAATGCAGAAGTAACTAGCAGATAAATTATGGCAATTTAGCTTGTTTTTTACAACTTCACACTTCCTGGATGAACAATATATGCACGTTTTACAACCTCATTCAGAGACAATAACTTGAAGTGGAAATTCCTTATCCTACACACCAGCAGGATTCATTTGAGGTTCATTACGCTGAAGTGAGATTGTGCAAACACTCTTTAAACTTTGGTGACAACGCAGCTGAGCTACGCTAGGAACTGGGAGCGTAACAGCAGCACACAGGTGAACTACGAGAAGCCCAGGCATATGGCCCTGTTGAACTCAAACATAAAAGAACAAAGAAATCCAGCTGCATACGCTCTTGTTGCTTCAATGAAGAGAAATATTGAAGGCAAGTATCAAAAGCTCAAATTTCAGAAAATCTACTCAGCATGGACAATTATTTGATTAAGAACTCAGCAGCACTCTATGTAACGACATCATCCTTTCACCAGAATTTAAAGTACTGAATAAATTACCTCAGACACTTGAAAATCTACAGTGTACTATGTTACATTTACATAACTGTGACAACTCATTAATACAGAAATCTAGAGATGATCTGGATGATGATTATTTGCCAAAAGAGACTATTCTAAAAATTATCTTTTAGTATATTTCATATACTAAAAATACATACGTCATCAGACACTGAGCATGTGAACAAAATACATCCTAATTACAATCATGTGTGATCTGTCAATCTCCAACATTTTAAAATAGTCGGATTCCCAGATCAATATGTAAAATGTGTAAAATTTGTTCTGTACTTAATGATAAATCAGCAGATTCTAAAAGTAGCCAAAAGCTTCAGTATTAAGCAAAATACTACAATACAAGAAGGAGTAACTTAGAGCAATCTAAGAGCAATAGATAAGGGGAATGTTTTTTTTTTTAACTAATGAAGTATCTAATACTGAATAAAGAAATTGGTGAAGATCTCACATATGTTCTGCCATGCACCATACATAAAGGTAAGAATAGTATCATATAAAGAGATACACAAATATAAAACACGTACAGTACAAACCATTTACACTCCCTATCTCTCACTGGCTTTTCCTGTTTTAGTTATATCATTCAAAAATACCTACGGAATTGCTGTGTCTTGAAACATCTTTGCATATATAATCTCTTAACTATCAGTACACCTGATTTTTTTTTACAGCCATAAGGTAGTAGTTTGTTGGTATAAATCACTGTTGTGGAATAATTTTATCCTATAAATAAACCACAACTTCTGTAGTTTAAGCACATTCTAATCTACTAAACTGATACACTGAAAACTCGTCAGTATGCATATTTATTTCATAATGCTATAGTTTGTTTGTAAGCATCTAATCCTAAAATGGCCTTTATCAGTTTGGTGATATTTGAAAAGTGCTGCTCTTCCCAGTCAAAAATTAATTTTTTCCCCCTTTCCCTGAAGCAAGGCCAGAAATATGAAAAAACTCCCTTAAATCAAATCTGATTTTAAAAAATGCACACAGTATTTATATTCCTTCTAAAAATGTAGAACAATTACAGATCTAGCCATAATATTCTTTTTTGCTGGGACATACTTTTCATCTATGTTGTAACTTAGAAATTTTACCTGGGGCTACTGAAGTGTTTACACGTCCATGCCAGTAAACATACCATTTTATCCTGAATTTTCAAAGCTGACTGTTATAACAACAAACAGACCTTCTTTCCACTTCCAGTATCTTACTTGCAAATAGGGGGAAAAAACATAATCTGTCAATGAGATAAATATGGAGACACATTATGCTATTTTTACAGTCAGAATACCACTATCCTTTGAATTTCTAAGGTGAAACTGTGGTAGTATTATTGTCAAAATACTTACAGCGAAAGAGAATAAACAGCATCACAGTTGGCAAAGGTTAATCATCATAGTAATTTATTGAAAAAAATACATACCTCGTATATAACCAGTTTAACAACCCTATGAAACTAACATGCAGAAAGTCAGTTGGCATTGTGTTTCTTGGACTTGAAAACAATCAATTTCAAGTCAGCTTAAGGCCTTGAGTTTTTGAAAGTTTAATGAAAACTTAATTTTAGTCTGTCAGAATATATGAGCTTACATCTAAAGATAACAGGGAAGAACTCGGTTATGAAAATACTGATGAAGCAACAATGATTCAGAAATAACACTCAGCTAATCTGTTCTTTTTACATGGCTCCTCTTTCAAGACACTTTATCTTCGAAAAGGTTGCAGCACGAAGAAAGATAGACAATAATCACCATGGCAAGTCTTAGGATGTTTGTCCTATGTTCTGCGCTTGACAACAGGTCACCTAACACACTTTTGACAGTTTTCACCTCATGACAGATTGTAGTAAGTAGATGTCCTGGTTTTGGCTGCGACAGAGTTAGCTCTTCTTTTTAGCAGCTAGAAGAGCTCCATGTTTTGGTTTTGCTCTGAGGCTCGCTCTGAGAAGAATGTTGATAGCAAGCTGATATTTGTAGTTGGCACTGAGGTCTCAAGGACTTTTCAGCTGCCGTGTTCTTGCCAGTGTGCAGGAGCACAACAGGATAAGGGGGGAGCATGGCCGAGACAAGGGGGCCACGATTCCCCTTGTGATTTGTGGTGGAACTTAAGATTGAGGGCCAAACTGGCCAATTAGTATTCCATATCATGCAGCATCATGCCCAGTGTAAGAGTGAGGGTCAGCCAGAAAGAAGGGCTTTTGCCCTTCCAGGACTCTCACTTTCGGACTCTCGGTGTACTTTCTGTCTTGCTCTCTGTTTAGGGGCCTCGCATTCGTCTGGGATTGCAGCTTCGGGACGAGATGGGCTTTGGATAAGAGGGGGTGGTGAGCATCTACACTGTGTAGTACTTATCTGTATTAAATTGTTCTTATCTCAACCCACGGGTTTCCCATTTTCTCCTTTAATTCTCTCCCTCATCCCTGGGGTGGGGGAGGGTGAGTGAGCGACTGCGTAGGGTTTGGTTGCCGGAACGGCCTAACCCACGACAGTAGAGATGGGAATTTGTTCCATGGATACACATGACTGCAACGTATTTGGTTATCATCTTTGTCCAAGAGTACCACTGCGAATCTGAGACAGCAGCCATTTGACTTTGTCCTTCTCCTGCCTTGAGTTTCTTTTCCCCTCTTCAGGACAGTTTCCTCATGCCCAGGAGTTTTCACAGTGTTTTTGATGCAGCACTCTCTATGGGACACAGAAGCTTCTAGTCGTCAGTCAGACAAAAGGTGAAAAGGGCTTTTATTTTCATTCTGAATCCTTAATCTTCATCACTTGAAGGACAATGAGCTGCATAATCAAAACTAGGGAACCTGACTGGCAGTTCTCCCCATTTCTTAAAAATTTGCTTTGTTGTTTTCTTGTCTTCAAACACAACTACAAAATTTCGAATCTTTAGACAAGGCAGGTCAAGACCTCGGTGAACCATCATATTTCCCCAAGCCTGCAAGTGTAAAAAAAATCATGCTTCAGATAAAATATTCAGGATCATTAAACAGAAATAAATACAGACAACAACAACATAAAAGTATGAAAAAAGAGTCATTCCTCACTTGTCCACAATCTTTACATATAATTTCCCCATTTGTCTGGTAATCGGCGTCCTTATCTTGCAGTGTCTTATTTTCTCTTGTGTGGTAGAGACTTCTGCAAAACAGTCAGAGAGCGTGCATCAGAACACACTGCTCATTCAATGCGACATAGAGCCTTAAACACACAGTGACTACCATTGCTGAAGTCACATACGAAACCTAAAAGGTCGTAAACTCCCTGAGTGCTGTGCACGTTCAGGAGCTGGAGAAAACGCAAGGTCCTATTTCATGCTCCTAAGTAGCGGTGAAATACAACTGTACTCCACGCCTCCTTTCACAGCATTTCAGGAGCTATATCCTCCCTCACACATCTTAAAGTAGGAGCAGCAGGCTCTCTGTTACAATAGGGGATAGATCTAGCTTGTTTACTTCAGGTGCCATGGAGCTGTCAAAAAAATGATACCTGAAAGTTAGAGGTTTTCTTTTTACTCCCTGTAGTCCAACCTTACCCCTTAAAAGAATCACTTGGTTCTGACTATGCAGAGCTGCAGAGTACGTGCACATACTTACTTCGTTTAGTTTAGGCAGTGCTTGATCTGGAGGGTTACTATTGGCCTGTGCTGAGGGGTTATAAGAATTATTAACTTATAGTTTGAATTGACTGATAACATTATGCTGACAAGACAATTTCACAGTAAAAGCAGTTTAATGTTTAGGGCTGCAGCTCAATTTTCATTTTTTCAACACATGTGTACTGATTTCTCATTACCTCTTCAAGAAGTCCTTACAAATGATACCAGAGATATATCTCAAAGACACGAGAACTCTGGAAGGAAGTAATGTGGTTGGATGGTATCTGCTGTATAATTAGCAAAGCATGACTGAGCTGTAATGTACAATACCCATTGCAAATTTACTGTAGTAAGCAAGTGCAATTGAGGTTGAATTAAAACATTTTCTTGGTCTCTTAATTTCCATTATGAGTGGAAGAGAAAGTCACCTCCTGCCATCATGGCACTGAAAAGTTAAACACAGTTTAACACAAATGCTTACCAAACTAGATGGCATCTCTTGCAATGGAGATGATAAGGAGCAAGAACACTGGGATGTGTCATCAGTATGGACATCCTCTAAATATACAATTGTCAATGCACAGCTCACGGCCAATATATTGCTTGAGTCAAACTCTTATCCTGGGTCTGTTACTGGTGTAAGTGTTTGGGTAACTGGTATTCAGCTTTGGTTACAGCTACGCTGTGGAATACATACCATATTATATAATGTGACCTAGTTAATATTACCACAAGACCTGTATCTTTTTCCAATGTTTGAAATTCTGGTCACCTTGAAATCAGGGGTAAGAACAAACGTTTCCTTCAAACTCATTAACTGTAAACTCCATAAAGCTTAGGACTGGACAATATTGGAGTAATCTTTTTTTTTCTATCTCACAGGGACTAGAGGGTTACAGGCCCTGTACAGCCCTGCTTAAAAGAAAACCTGTTTTTGCCTGGAAGAGATAAAGTAGTTCATAAACACTTACTGGAAATCTTTTTTCACGCTGACGTGATGCATATTTTCAATAACTTGAATATCTTCTCCAGAACATATCAGCTTGTGGCAATTTTTGCATAGGAATGTTATAAGTGAAGGATTTTTCTTGTATGTCTTGTGCTGATCTCTCTTTGCCTTCATTTGTTTTTCCAGTATACTTTGCAACTGGAAATTCTGAATCTAGAAACAAATCAGTAAGAGCACTGTAACATTCTGGTGGAATGACAGGAACAGTTTTCTTTTTCAGTTATTTCACTGAGTTCACTGACACATGACTTCAAGTCAATTTTTCCTCCTGTGTGTTTCCCCCCTTACCAAAAGACAAGCACATTTCTAAATGCCCAGAAAACATAGCTTATAAAGCAAATACCGGGAGAAGGATTCAAGGCCATATGTAGTAGCTAATATGATTTTAAGTTTTCCTCCCCTAAGTAGATGTCAAATAGAAAGTATTCCTTACAATATAAATCAGTCTTCTTTAAAGGCAAAGGGCAGAGTTGCAGTAAATACCTTATTTAAATACTCTTCCTGTGGCATGTTCTGGACACGCTGAATGGCCTTATACATCATGTTCTCTCGGAAGACATTCACATCTTCACGTTCAACAGCTCCTGAGCCACTCGAAGCCACAACTGTATAGGTGCTCTCATCAGCTCGAGCTCGACCACGAGCCTACAATTTGCAAGGAATACAATGTAAACAGCACAATGTTCCCTACAACACTGCACAACAGTTGTTTCTGGTTTTGTAATGGAAGACACGTACTGTTTCTTACACAGTGTCCCCACAGAGCATATCCTTCTGCTTAACTCATGCGGATAATCAGTGAATACCACATACTGTTTCTCCATTATCATTAAAGATACCTGTGAAAGAGTACTCAGAAGTTTTGTGATTAGCATAACATTTTTCAAAGCAGAAACTCTACTTTGTCACCAAAACTAAGCACACATTTAAATATTAAATACATAAATATTTGCGTTCACAAATTAAGTGAGAACATGGTCAAACTGGTATTCTGACATGCACTTATCTCTTTTTAGCTGTTGGTGGTACAAATGTCTTTCTATCAACCAGTCTGCTGATCATATTCCTATACCTTTTCTGTAAGAGAGCTTACTGTATTGTGTAGAGCTTTACATGGGTGTTACACCATTACATATGGAGGCAAATTTTATATAGCATGCAAACTGAGGACAGCAACTGGAACTGAATCTTGCTGCAAGTATTTAAAAATGATCTTCAAAACCCAGCTAAATGATTCACCATTTGCATATTCCAAACAGAAAAGCACTTTTAAAAATAAGTTATGTATGCACTAAACTCATACCTGCATCATAGCAATTTCATTGGTGACGAGGCCATAGCGAATGACGATGTTACACTCTTTGATGTCTAGGCCTTCCTCAGCTACAGTAGTAGCAATAAGTAAATTTACACTTCCACCTCGGAATTTATCAATGACTTCCCTTTGCTCATTCTGTAAATTAGAAAAAAAACACAACAAAACAGTATATAAACTTTCAGTATTAGTTTCTGTCATCAGTTTCTTCTAATGAAGAGGTTTAAGGAATTGTAGTCCCATCATTTCAAAGTAGAGTGTCAAACATCAATGGCTTCAACAATTGCATTTAAACATCTTTCAAGATCACAAACAAGGAACTCCTGTTGAATATAAAGGCGTTCAGCACCTTTTTTGAAGGGGGAGGGAATAAAAGCCAGTCTTTTTAAGGTAACTGAGCTTGGAACTTTGTAGCCCGTTTCATAAGCGCTAGGAGTTTTAATAATATAGGTTTTTTGTTCTATCGTTTTCAAATTCTTTAAGTAGTTATTCAAAGGTTCTGGATTTCTACCACTTCAGTAATTTCAGCTTAAAGTACAGACTTCAGCATTTCCAAGCCAAGTTTCAAAGTACCTAAAATTCTCCATAATAAATGGGGACCATAATTTTGGTGATCTGGGGAGTTGCAAAAAGCACAGCAATGATGTACACTTAAAAAACTAAATAATCCAAAACATGGACTTCTGAATTAGCTGGGTATTTCAAACAAGATTGAGCAGAGGGACAGAAACTTCCTGTTTGCTATATTCAGTTTCAAAATGCAGAGGCTATTGTTTTGTTTGTGCAATGTGGTGCACAGATTAAATACCAAATTTTCATAGAAAACAAGCAACTTTTTGAGAGAACAATTCCTAACTATTTTTTTGAGAGCAGCTGAAGGAAATGGACTCTGCCCAGCAGTAAACCACATCATTTTTGCTTAAATGCTGAAGTGGCAATTTTACAGGGAGTAAAAAGCAGAATAGAAAAGAGGCTTTAGTACACTGAGATACTTTGTTTTGAAGATGTAGAATTTTGGCAAATTCTCTTTCAATGATTATGCATCAGCATGAAGCATACATATAAATTGGTATAAGTTGATGAAACAATCATATCAGAAAAAGAGGCATCATCAACATTGTAATTAATTTTATTTTTCAACTCAGCAACTAAAATATAATTTGAATTACTGTTGAATTGATAAACTCATTTAACTATCAGATTTTTGCAACTGCCATTTTGTTCACTTTTTCTTCCTATGCCCCACTGTAATTTGTGTCCCTTTTGACTATATACTCCCCTAGGAAATGGCTGCCTGTTACTCCTATTGACACAGAATCCCAAATCAAAAAAGCTTGTTTCTTGCAGAAATAAAATTATTCTGACACTGTTATTCATCTGTCTTGCAGCTTATGATGGTAAGTTGCTGGCAGATATGAAACCAGAGCTCTGGGCTCCAAACAGTCCGTTGTTCTAGTACTAAACCAAGCTGTTTTCTCAAAACATGTACGAGATTCGAATGCTGCAGTGCATAGTTCTGTACCTGAGTCATGGGTTTAGTTTCACTGTTATGTCCAGCACCAATAAGATAATGGGCCTTAATTCCCACTTCTTCAAATTTTGGGTTATCCTTAATCCACTGGAATAGAGCAAAGGCACTTAGCCGAGTCTTTGTGAAAATAATTCCTCTAGGTTCCTCGGTCTTCGTGAACTCCTCCATTAAAGTGTTTCGCAACTGTATTAGCTTCTCGTTTTCATATTCTGGCTTTCTAGCCAACTCTTTCAGTTGTTTCTTTTTTGCTTTAGAAATAGCAGATATAAATTAAGAAAAAGTAACCATGTAAAATAACAGCTCTAGAAAACACACGAAGCAAAGAGCAGCTTTCTATAGAATTCTCCCAGCATGGCTAATTCACACCCAGTTTGAAAAGCTGTGGCATACCAATATATTTTTCAAGTGAGTTTACATTCATTAAAAACACACCAATCAAAATAAATCACCATTATCTTCATAACATACACTTTGCCTATATTTCATGGTGAGAATAAGCAAAAGAAAAAACTATTTACACATCAGAAATGGTTCAGAGTTAAGTGCATTGTATCACAGAGCTAAATCACAGCTTATCATATTTGCAAAACACTTTTAAAATAACTGAAAAAGTCTTACAAGGAGAAATAGGTTAATATTAATGTTAATATTAGCCCTCGGAGCTGGTAAGTTTTTTTATAAATTTAGACATAAATTGTCCTAGGGACATTCGTTAAAGTAGGAATCCGCACTAGAAATAGGCAATGTAATAGATACCAGGATGGGTGCATTGTTATCGGTGTTGCAGCTGTCAAAGACATTTCAATACGCTCAGTGAAACGTTAAATGAATGACTCTCTTAGACAGGCACTGGTGACCGTGACCAGGGAGGACTCCTCACGTGTTTTAAATTTTTTAAAACTTTCTAATATTTAAAGCCTACCTCATTATCAGATGATCATGCAAACACAATATTAACACTTTAAGGGGGGCCCTTGTGTGTTAAGATATTACAGTCACTCTGATGTCATGACCCTGGGCTGATTATTGCACTGCACCTCATCCAATGCAATCGCAGTCTGTATCACAAACTACTAGAGCACTTAGGCAGTGGCTTTCTGACTACAGTCTTATTCATATTTTAGAATGTAATCAAACATATAAATCAAATACATACAAAAAGTAGGTAGATGCAACAAACTCCCACAGTTTTCCCCCTTAGTTAATCCTACACTAAGGGCTGCAGGGAGTTTATCACCCAAAGATGAACTCTGGTCTTAAAAGTTAGAAATAGAAATCAAATAGATTTTGTTCCACTATTGGCACCTTCAGTGGTAAAATTAAAACAGATTGGAGCATGATTCTTTTTTCACTATTGTCATGGTTTGATGTGGAGGGGGGGGTGGTTCTGGTGGCAGGAGAGGGATTTTGCTCCCTGCAACCTCCCCAGTTTTGGAGCCAGGTTAGTCTTAGTTCTGGCCACCAGATCAGACTGCCATCCCCCTCGGGGTTGAGCCAATAGCGCGCCTCTGCGAATTGCCCTATTTAAGTCA